AATTTGGATGGCGCAAGACTGACCATAGTTCCACCGTGTCTTATAGACCGTATGTGAATGGTTCGCACCTAGGGGTATCGGATGCTAATAGGGGGCATGCTTTGTGATACAGAGTGTTAGTCGAAGTCAATGTCTATTTTGATAAAGCACAGTGCTGCTAATACCATTGGGTCGGGAGAAATAGAAGGTTAGAAAACTTGATTGCAGGCGTGGGGCAAGAGGAACGCCTAACTGACGAGAGTGTTACGGGGTAGAGCGTAAGCCGGATAGGCGTACAGTGGGGTAGAAGATGGGGTTTGCTAATTTTCCGGAGGCACAGGAGGTAGGATGATGGCTGAATAGTTGGCACTCCCCGAGGGATGGCTGATGTCGGAGTCGTGGTGTGCGCTATAGCTACTATGGAACTAGGCCAAGTGTATTTTGGAACTGTGGAAAGGGCTGACATGTGTTTCGATGATTGTTCCTTGGGTGAGTGGACACGTTGAGCTCCTGGGGTGGGCCAGAGCAACTACTGACATCTGGCTCCCGGTGTGCAACAGCAAGTAGGTCTATATGGCCAACAATAGCTCTATGGCCAGGAACGTACTGATTTCTGGCGCACGGAGCGCTGTAGGATGTAAGTGAGTAGGATCGACGACGATTCCCCGGCGGGCCAATTGCTGACCTATCTCTCGCTGAGTGTTGTAGCATGTAGGGTAACTGGACTAATGACGGTTCGACGGGGGGCAATCTCTGACCTCTCCCTTGTTGAGTGTTACAGCATGTAAGTGAATAGGACCAGCGACGATACCCGGGCGGGGAAATTGCTTACCTCTCGCTCGCTGAGTGTTGTAGGAAGTAAGTGAATTGGATCAACGACGGTTTCCCAGCGCAGCGATTGCTGACCTCTTGCTCGCTGAGGGTTGTGGGGGGTAAGTTATTATTATGAGATGTCGGCTGAGAGGACTAGCAGGTAAAGAGGGAAGAAATAAAGATCTCGACTTGGTAGTTTTAGATACGAGTATCTTGTATTTTTTGTTGCTTATCCTTTTATCTAAGGAACAGGAAAGGACTTTATATAGACAAATCAAGAGCACTCCCGACATAGTGTTCCAGCCACCACAAGAAACAAACAATCAGAAACACACCATCACGGTGCTTCCCCGGGAATCCTTCCGGTGGGTCCCATGCAATGCCGGAGTTCTAGTATCTTCGCTCAATGAGAAATACATGACTCAGGCTTATAGAGAAGAATAAAACTGAGAAAGGAGTGACAAATAGAAAATAACTAAGGAGAGGTATTTATCTCTTGACCGAGATTCACGCACACGGAGTGATCGCCGGTGATATTCAACATACCGTAAGTGAATGGGATCAACGACGGTTTCCCGGCGGGGCAATTACTGACCTCTCGCTCCCTCCTTGGTTACAAAGAGGGGCGTGCTTGAGGATACTGGTGTAGCTCTCTTTTATTTGCACGGTACCGTGTCGTGGCTGGGCTTGTACCCGAGTAAGAGCCCTTTTACCTAACCGTCTATTTTCTGAATTTTGTACTGTGCAGTTCGCGGGCGCTGCCAGCACAGGGTTATTTTGCAACCGACAGGGCTAATTGTGCTTACCTAATTTTCAACTGACGAGCCATTTTGGGCGTTAGACTCGTTAGGTAAACAAAGGATGCAAATTGAGCCCCTGCAGCTAAGACCCATTGACGGTGCGCACCTTCAACGCGTACTAGACGGCCGTCTGTATTGTGAATCGTACTCGATAGTGTCTCGTTCCGCACAGTAAAAGCTTCTGTTCCTTACCGGTGTCAATCTTTCGTATTCGGTTCTGTAACAATGTCAGCCGTGCTCTCTCCACTTCCTTCTCACATCACCATCTGCCCTTATATACACTGACAATAAAAGAAATTCCTTACGGTCTCCTAATACACCCCCGGTGACCACCCCCCCACCCCGCTTCCTGTTTCCCTGAACATCTCTCGACATCATTTTTTACCCCTCTTTTGTCAACCAATCATATTCTTTCATACTCCCACATGTTACATATCTCCTTGTCTACCGAGCAGACTCACTGGTGCACCACCACGGGATTTTTCAGAGAAGCTCGAGAACCTTCCATCCTGCTGATAAATGAAAAACTCATAAGCATTACAAATAGGAAACCAACACTAACTTCGGCGGACTTCTCTACTACGCCGCAATCCCTATAGGCAATCGTGATAGGACTATTACTCCAAGTACCAGTGATTTGCAATAGTCTGTCGGTAAACGGACCCTAAATTGTGCACTTCTGCAAACGCTTAGGGCCCGTCTACCTAACCGTCACGTTTAAGAAATTTGTATGGTGACCGTACCGTCCGCTCAGAGTTATGTTGCAACTGACGGTGCCAAACGTGTTTTTTCTAATTTTGAACCGTCAGGAATTTTGGGTGCCTGACGGTCCAGATGAGAAGTTGCTCCAGAGGTGCGGTAGCAACACCGTCAGCCTATCCTTGGGACCTGTTACACCCTCAATGGCCACACGGCCACTTCAAATCCTCTGCTTTCTTTGCACCAGTGGTTCTAGAATAAATATAATAGACTAATACAGTTGTCTACTACCTTCAAGGTCTTCTCCTTTAAGTGGCACATTCAGAGTTTTGGTTTATTGTAGCAAAACAACCGAAAACGGTCCGTTAGCAGAGGTGGCAGGACTTTTGAGGAGACATTGTAGGTCGTGCTTAGAGGATAGTAGTTGGGTCCAAGATTTTAACCCGTCAGAAATGGTGGAAAAGAAGAGGAAGGTGGGAATTGGGGGTCTAAAACCCTCTTATCGTGTCATGTACGATTTTTTACCTGCACTAGGACGGTGCGATAGACGGTGCGTTGCTGTAGACGGTGAATTAGGTAAACAGGGAATGGGAATTCAGTCCCTAACGCAACCGACCGTTAGGACACCCTTGACGGTAGGCACCGTCAACGTGCACTTGACGGCCGTCTGTAGGTAGATGGGCCCTTAGTATACCGTAACAGTATAGTTTACTGTGGAAAATTGCTGCTGCAAGCGATCTTCCTTAATTCCACGCAATCCTCGTATGAGACATTCTGGTCGCCGTTGATGTTTCTAGCCTTCCGGAGGTTCCCCGTATGTACACAATCTTCCATCGTACATGGGGGAATCTCTCCCAAGTTTCCCTCCTGTCCTTCCTCGTCTGTCCTGGTATCACTTTCGTGCCTCCATCATCTAACCACATTTTCCAGAACACCATCAGCACTGCTCTAGTTACCCCGGGGGCGCTCAACGCCTGCAGCGCCAACAGCATTCGTTGTATCCAGTGATATACAGATTCCAGTGCGACACTGGCAGGTAGCAGCAGGTTAGAACTTGAATGAAAGAATAATTTCAACTCCCAATGTTCAATGCTAGTTCCAAACGATCTCCAAAGTCCCAAGAAGCATTCTTCATCCTGCTCGCGAGAAAGTGCAATTCCAGACCTTCATCCCAAACATGCTATTTATTTCTCACACATTTGTCGAAACCTACTACGGCGTTCGAAATTTTGTTCATATAACATCATACCGCCCACATTCGAACTACCGTAATGTAATCAATTTTTATCGTTCGTGTTTCTCCGGAGATATCATACTCACGGCGCCGGTTCACTCTGCCAGTTCCTATGGTGCAAAGTGCCTAAAGGCGGGTCCTCCGGTGAAACGGCAATTCCGTTGTAACCGATCGGGTTTGGGCCAATAATTGCCAAGACATGATGAGTAAGATGAAATAACTTGTTAAGGGAAATGTATAGAATAGAGGATTAACCAGAATTAGAATTTTTTATGCCTGTCATACTAATCACTGATTATTTCTATGTCTCAGTCATTTATACTCTACAGTATTTTTCAGTCTGTCAGTAGGTAGATTCTATCACTTATTTCACTCTCACCAAAATTTTCACCTTTTAAACTTGAACTACTTTTTCAAATAACACTTTATTAAAAAAAAAAACCTCAGGCCTCTTCTCCTCTTGAATATCTTCCTCACGAAGGTTTTTCTTAATTTTTATTCCTTGTTGTGGTTAACTAGTTCAATTTCGGGTTTGCCTGTTTTGAGGACCCACTTTGTGTTACTTTGCACCACTCATATTTACTCTACTGTATTTTTCAGTCTGTTACTAGGTATATTCTATCACTTGTTTCACTCTCACCTAAATTTCCACTTTTCAATCTTGAACTACTTTTTCCTATGACATTAATTAAATTTAAAAAAACATAGGCCCTCTTCTTCTTCTGAATGGCTTTATCACCTATGTTTTTTTTTGAAAATATTTGCTCTTATGATGGACTAGTTCAAGATCGCATTTGGCCTGTTTGGAGGACCCGGTTTGTGTCACTTTGCACCATATTATGGAATCGCTCATCCTCGGGAATTTTAGCCAATAAAACACAATACGGAATGATGATTGCAACCACACTAAGAAACCTCTGAACCTCAGGAACCTGGATGACATTCACCTCCATTCACTTGAAACAACGAAAGGCCAGATTACTGTGAATCCGGAAAGTCCCTACCAACAAGCCAAGAATCAATAGGCGTTGTTGAAGCTATCATGAAAAGTTTAATAGATGTATCATTCATCATGGTAATAATAACTTTGGTGGATAGTATTTTGTATTTGCTTTAAGTTTCTTCCTTCCACGTACTTCTAGCAGCTAAATTGAAGGGGGATGCTTTATGTGGGGATTGTCACCTTGGCCACAGGAAAACTGGCGACTCAGTAGCCAATGTTACAGCCTTGTTTTAAGGTGTCCATACACTTTAGCTAGTGTTGCCGGAGGGACTTTGGTGTCTTATAGGGCAAAACATCCGACAATGAGCGATCCCAGAATAGGGACCGGCAGAGCAAACCGGCGCCGTGAGTAGACTTGCGCCGGAAGACGAATCACGTGGGGGGCTGGGGTTTGGGACTAGCCTCCCTGCTTTCTCGCCTGATCGACCATCAAGCCACCATTAGGACACGTGTCATTCCACCTTATCTCTGTCAACCACTTCCCTCCTCTGAACTCGTGCCTGTGCATCCACTCCCCCAACAACCCAAACCATCACGAACGAACATCTGTACCACATCCGACATCATGGAGGACCTTTATTACCACTTGTGGGAAAAGAAAATGGTCGTTGTCAAGAGCGTTACCATCCCTGTACCTCTGCCGGAGTTGATGGAGCAGCAGCCCGGATACGGTGTCGACCCAGCGCATGTTGTGACCGCAGACTTCCCTGGTCCCGAGCTCACAGAAAATGTACAGGAACAAGAGTTCAAGGTACTCCAGGCTGGGGCAATGCTTCCCTGCGGAAGCGATGTGTTTCTTGTACGGTCTGAGTATGATATACTTGATGGTCTCTTGGCAGATGCGGTGGCAAAACGATGGTCCGACGGCAGCCAGCCGTTGGAAGGAGCCAACCTAGACTTCAGAGTGTCTGGTGATCGCGGCACAGGTATGGTGTAATTATCAGATTCATTTTGGGCCACTACTCTGACTTCTGAGAAGGAAAATCAGTTTTTCTTTCTTACATTCTTGCACGTAGGCTTGCTATGGGTCTGCCAACCGTTTATCGTGAGGATGACCTAAAGTGTTTTCTCTTCGACCAATACAGCTCGGGGAAGCAGGTCAATGCCGATACTCTGTTTGGCCTTCCGATCGATCAACAACAACAGCTCTGGATTCTCACGGACGATCCGCCTACCGATCACCGCTGGAGCCGTTCAGGTGGTTGGTTTGTAGTATTGGCTGCTGCAACAGAAGATATGAAATTCGCTCGCGCATGGGAGACCAAGAGAAATGTTGGCGTGCACGCTATGACCCATTGGAAATGGAGTGAAATATTCGGTGCTTTCTGGTATTAATCGTGCCTATATATAAGATGGGTTATTAGTTGACACAAGTATTCTTCGATAGGTTACTGAGGCCGGACCCCCCTACTCCCAGTGAGATTGGAAAACTATACACAACCTTCATTTGCCTAGGCCCAGTGGCGAGGACATGCTTGCAATCGATCCCCGTCACCCCTGATTCCGCATATAATGGGAGTCTGAGATCGCATCTGGGGTTTGCGGATACCGATATGCAAAACTTCCTTACCTGCGGAGCCTACAAGAACATACTGGCCAGCATTGCGGGGCTTCCGTTTCTCGATTCACGCGTCATGGAACCTGCTGAACACGCCTTATTCTCTTGCGCAAGAATTTACACAAGATGGCTAGCCCACCGGCTATTTAGAATGGTTGTGGAACGGTCTCAACGAATTGGATTTGGATTGTACCCTTATTTCGCACGCCACCAATCCCTGCGCAGCCTCAGTGGATGGACCTTTGAAGGGTGTGTCCAATACGTACTCAATCACGGGGGCTCCTTCAATGCCCAAGAGCTTCCAATCAGAAACGATAACTCCCCACCATTTACATTCACGATAAAAAAGAGTCAGTCACCCGGCCTTCATTATTTTACCACTGCAGGCCAATTAGCCCAGCAGGTTCAGGATCCGGATAGCGGAGGGATCACGCCAGCCACGATCGGGAAATATTTCCTGCCATACACCTGGAGACCGGAGTCCATTGATGGACTTATCTTCAGTCATTTCGACACCTTGATTCTAGTCCGGATTGCGATCGGTGATAGTCTTACAATCGATTTCCAGGAGCTTTGCGACCTCCTCTGTGCCTTGCCCACTACTATCAGTAAGATTAATATTGTCTTTGTTCTCCCAGAGGCTGAAACTAGACCTGGCTCTGATTTCATGCGCAACCCTGGGCCCCAAGCTGTTATTCCAAAAATAGATAGTTTAATCATTCATCGGTTCCAGTGGGTATGTACGTATGATGATATGCAAGCAGTAGCTCTCGATTGACCCTGCTGGTGACTGGAGGTCTCTTGTGGTGGGCGTGCTGGGATGGAGGGATGGGTGAATACTATGATGAGGAATAATATTATCGTATGGTTCCGGAAGGCTAGTCACTATACCAACTTTCACACCAAAAATGTGACGATTCCTGCTGCAACGGCAACCGTAACACTATGTTAAACGTTTACCCTACTGCCTTAAGTTGAAAACCTTGACTGTCTAAATCAAAAATGTGAGTTAGAAATTAAATAAATATATATATACCAGATTGTAACAGGTGCCAACATTCAAAAATTAAGAAACATCATACCTCACCATCATGGATCAAGATCTCCAACTCCAACAGCGGCGTACCGCAACATGTGACCGTGTACTAAAATATCGTGCTGCTCATCCTCCTCCAGTTTCATCGATCCGATCAACTCCTATGTCAAATACTGAACGATCTCGCAAGTATCGCTTGAAGAAGAAAGAAAGTCAGCAACCTGTTTCTGTTCTGAATCCTGTTGTAGATAATACACAGGAAAATACAGCAGTTCAAGAATCGCAATCTTCACGTGAACGGATGAGAAAATATCGCCAACGACTGCAACAGCGTACTGGATATCACAAACAAAGTGCTCTTACCAACAGAGAAAAATGTCGACGATATTATGCTCGGAAGCAGCAGCAGCAACTGCAAAGTCAAGTGGCCCAACAGTCTGCCCAAGGGGGAAGAAATGAAGCTGCACTTTATGAAAGTTCTGAAAGCCAGCATTCTCATTTACAAGCTACAGAGTTATGTAAGCTTGCATACGCTAGCTGGCCACGGCTTACAGGTGATTGCAAAGAAATAAGGGAGGAAATTCTAGAGTCAGCATTCAAACGCCTGAGGACAAAGATTAGGTCCACAAAAAGAGCAAGACTAGCAGGTATTCAGAATCTGCAACTCGATTGGAATCTACAGCTTTATATGTTCATAAAGCTACAGCTCAAGATGGAGAAGAAATGGAAATCTGCAGAGCTAAAACGGATGCCAACAGATCCTATTACAACAAAGAAGTCGAGAAAAGAGCTAGCTATGCAGGTAGCAAACTCTGGAGGGTAGGGTACCTGGGTAATGAATCGGATTTTGAAACAAGAGGTGGAATATATAAAAACAGGCAAGCTTCCAGCACCAAAGCAAGGGAAGCACATCAAGGTTGCAAGCTGGTTAACAGATGAGGGAACAATGCTTGCAATGCGTGAGTATATATCATTTGCTGGTGAAGGTATGCCTTTGTATATTTAATTGTTCTGAATTGTAATCAAATATCTAATAAGCAGTGTAATTTCCTAGCAATGACATCTGCTGGACTAGCACGTGCAGTAACAGCTTATTGGACAGCAACATATGAGGAAGAGCTGCTAGAAGAAGGTACCCAATTACCAATCATATCAGTTACAGGTATGCAGCGGCGAATTAAACGTGCTCTGTCAAGTCGATCAGCCCTAACCTGGTTGTTAAAACTGGGATGGAATTGGAATGAAGTGAAGAAAGGGATTTACAAAGATGGTCATGAGAGAGAAGATGTAAAGACATATCGCGAAAATGTTTTTCTTCCTCGAATGGAATCCCTGAAATCTAGGTTGATGGAGTGGGATGAGAATCTTGGTTCCATTAACACAGAACAACTTACTGCGGCTGGTACGAAGCCTGTTGTATTTGTCACACATGATAAATGCACATTTAACTCCAATGATGGACGAAAGAGAATCTGGATACATGAGGACAAAGTACCAATATGTAAAAAGGGTCGTGGTCAGGGACTACATGTCACTGATTTTGTAACTCCAGTGGGAAGACTGGGTGGTGGAGAAGTTTGTGAGATTTTGAAGTGTGGTGGAGATGTTTGGTGGACGGGAGAGTTGTGGTTGAAACAACTGATAGAGAAAGCAATTCCCTTATTCGAAGCATCCTTTCCAGGATGTCAGGCATTATTTGCCTTTGACAATGCTAAGATTCATCAAAAATATGCATCTGATGCACTTCAAGTTACGAGTATGAATCTAACACCTGGCAGCAAAAATACTCAGCCAATGCGGGATGGGTATTTCATCAAGCCAGTGGAACCGAATATAATACATCAACAGTCAATGATGTTACCAGATGGTTGGTTAAAGGGACTGAGGATTGTGTTAGAAGAATGAGGCCTTTGGCCAGAAGGAAGAAGATTCCTTACTCAATGCTTGATCGCTGGGAATAAGCCTGGTGAAAAGAAATTAAATCCTGCATGCCGGCATGCTAGCAATGCAAATTGTTGTGCACGAGCATTACTTTCATCACAACCTGACTTCCAGGCACAAAAGTGTCAAATCCAGGAAGTTATTGAAGCTGCAGGACATCAGATTATTTTCTATCCTGCCTTTCACTGCGAACTTAACTTTATTGAATATTTCTGGGGCCGTGCTAAGTTGTATACACGGGCTCACTGTGAATATACATTTTCTTCATTGGTAAAAATGGTACCAGAGGCACTGGCCAAAGTTCCAGATGAATTGATCTGGAAATATTATCCAAGAACATTGCGGATGATGGATGCATACAGAAACAACATAGTATATGGTTCTGAAGACTTCAAGCGGCATGTTTATACACGGTATTCATCCCATCGACGTCTTGCAGAATCTGACCTTCATGTATAACTGTTTAATCTCTGTACTTAATTCTTTATTTGCTAGTTTATGATTGCTTTTTGAACCAGCTTTTAAAAGTATTGTCTATCTTAATTACTTAACATTACAACTTATCATCAAATTAATTTAGCTTGAAATGATTTTTTAGACCTTATCCTGAAGTCCCCACAGTAGAGGATAAAATACAAACTAAAGGATAGAAAGATTAGGGTACCCAGATTAAAGGGGGAGGGCAAAGGTTAAATACAGTGTTACGGTTGCCGTTGCAGCAGGAATCGTCACATTTTTGGTGTGAAAGTTGGTATAGTGACTAGCCTTCCGGAACCATACCTAGTCTACCTTAACGTACGAAATGCAGTATACAGGCTATATGGGCGGCATATGCGATAGGCATCGCTATGCCTAGGCTGTCTTGATTCATGGTATTTGATCAATTGCATCTCTCATCTCGGTAGAAGTAGGATGGGGTACCATGAAAATTGCAAATCCGACAGGTGAACCTATGGACTGTGTGGGAGGATCTCAGTAAACTCGATATTACTTGCACCTAGGAGAACGTCCCCCAACCCAGCCGGCGAAGGCCCTATCCCATAGTCTGTTGAAAAAGTGGCCCACTTTTAGCGTTCCGGAGAGCAAGAGTGTTTATGCATTAGCGTGATGAAAATTGCTACAATACGGTAAATGTTGCTTCTAGAACCTTACCCTCATATGTCGCGGTATCCAAAACCGCATTCTCCCCGGAGAGCGGGCCACTTTCAGTGCACACCCAGCTCCCCCCCACCGAGTTACCCGGATATATTAACTAGGGTTTAGGTCTCAGGTATCAATCGACAGGTCCAAAATTTAATGGTATAAATATGATGCTAGGCAAAATGGGCTACTGGGCTTCGTAAGCGCCCCGTTTTGATCAGTACCCTTCTTGGAGTGGCCCACTACAATCTATGGGATACAGTGATAAATGACTTGTTTGAAGGGTCCGGCAGTGCTCGTAATGGGGAAGTGGTCTCTTGACGGTTGGACAACAGTGGACTGCAGCTCAGAGTTCGCCGGGCCGAGTAGAGGATTGCGCCCAGGGCTTTTGGCGAGATGACGTGTAATACCACTGGGCGCTCTGGAAGGGATGATACCTAGACCCCCGCCGATCCCCGCCGATCCCTACCGTCCTCTGGTGAAATCATAAATTGCTTTGCTATTATATATACTTCTTGTACCAGGACGGCAAAATTATCTCCGGGTATGTCGTGCCCTTGTTGTTGGCCAAAGCCTTCCTAGCCATCTCCCCACGGGGCCACCAGAGCCCGCAGACCCTTGCGAACACAGATATCAAGTGATGTGTAACGGCCACCGCCATCACAGCAGCCAAGCCAGTGGTGGATGCAGGCTGGGCCGTGGGCTTCAAGTAATTAGTAACAATTTTGAACCATAACCTGAGGCCGGCGGACCCTCTGTCATTCCCTCCGAATTCCTTTATAGTGAAGATCCTACCATATCCAACTGAAAATCATGGAACCGTGCTTTCAGGTCATACCATCCCCCTCCAGTCGTCAACATTTCCGAGGATGTACTGGCTATCATATGAGTCGGGCGGTGTGGAGAGAATAAAGTAGAATGTAGGAATAGGACATCAGGATATCTTCACCCTCCACATCCCCATCTAGCGATAGGGTAGGAGGTGGGTTACGTAGAAGAACATACCCATCCTGTGCAAGCTCGCGATCTCACCCCGTGAGCTCACCGCGGCTGCGGTGTCCAGCATCTCCTGCGGTTCTGCTCTTTCTGCCAGATATTCCCCCCGGAACACAAGTTTAACCCGCTGCTATAACTTGCCTATTTCTGAGCTCCCAAACTTAATGTGCAGCCAGCCTACGAGGTACTAGCCTGGAAACTTTTGGTTAGTAGAAATTCATTTACTCGCCACTGAGGTATATTATCAAATAACTATAGGAATCGGTACTGGGAATGCCAGAGGCTCTATTACTAGTTCCCTTAGATGTATTGTAAACAAATCCCACATTACCTTAGCCAAATATCGGGGAGCTAAGTTCCAGCAGTACCCTCTGCAGCATCCAGTAGTATGTAGACTCAGGTGGTTTATTCCATACGCCACTCTCCCTGCTCACGCCAAATCCTGTTGTCAAATAGTCAGTGCGGCAGTATTGAGTCTACTGAACCAACGGGTCTATTGAAAATCACCGGCGATCATTCCGTCTCCCTGACTCTCGGTCAATGGATAAATATCTTTCCTTATCTATTCCTATTTGTTACTCCTTTGTCCGTCTATCTTGCCCCATTTGTCATTGATTTCTCATCCGTCAAGGGAATGGATTTACCTTGCATAAGCACTATATGGCTGGTGCCATGCGATATAAGAAAAAGGTTGTGTACAGCAAGGGAGCAGAAATTTTGGTATCGGGTATGAGCAAAGGTACCGGAACTCCGTAGTTGACTGGAACCCAGCGGAAGGATTTCCCCAGGGATCCAAGAGTGTTTGGCATTTCCATTGTTTTTTCTTACAGAGGCTAGAACACTGATTTGTCTACATAAAGTCTTTCCTTATTCCATAGATAAAGAGACCAGCAAGAGAGATACAGTGTACTCGTGTCTAAAACTATCAATCCTATAGATTTATTTCTTCCACTCCTGCTCTCAGTCTTCACAATCACCATCTGTTAACAATAGGGCCGTGAGAATCGGCTCCTGTACAAGCGTTGTGATAGTGATATCAAAGCTCTAGTACTTAAGGTGCTAGAGTGCAATGCCATCTCCCTTGGCGGTGTTAAAACTCATGGACATTCCATCAAATAGTTAGCAAAACAGCATATGGTTACAGGGTGTTGTTGGAACGCATGCAGGGCATGCTATAGCTCGTTTTGGATTGATGTCGAAGAAGTGTATCATTGTGTTTGGAATAGAGCTGGGATCCATTAGCTTAGGAGAAAGAAGACGGAAGAGTTTGGATGGTTTCATTAGTTAGTGTTTGGCCCTATCTGGTTAGCTTGTAACGGATGATACTGGCTTGTGTTGGACCAAGAAGATGGTGGAACATATCGGGAGAGTGGTTGCAACCATTACCGGAAATGCCTTTGTCCTCCGGTGGATGAGTTGGGAGCAAGGCACCAGTGTTGGGCATGGGAAGCAGAGTGGAAGAGGGTGTGAGGAGCTTGGGAATTTTCTTGATGTTTCTCAGAAGTCAGATTGTGTATAAGTAGGACACCTCCGATATGATAAAGAAAAACAAGAGCCAATAAGCCACTTTCATACGATCATAGCCTATTTTGAAAAGGCGGTGTGTTTCTGGTTCTCCCCCCTTTCAGTTTCCCATTTCATCGTCTGACATTGTCACCGTCCATGTCGAACTCAACCAACCTCCATCACACGGGAAGGTACCCGCCCTCCACCCCCCGCCCCCAACGCCAATTGCGACATCCCCGACCGCTATTCAACAACCAGAACAGTCATACCAGGGACGGGGCTCTGGAATACCCTTCATATGAATCTTAATTAGTGCAAGCAAATAGCCTCTACTGGATCTGAATATTGCATATAGAGCTGATTCCATACGATGAGTAGCTAATGCATCTCGCACTTCATTGTGCTGGTATATACATTAGTTTGTTTTCTGCTGGACGGAGTGTTGTAGGTAGGTCAGGCATGCTATTCCACGATAGGAATGATGACCAGGCAGGCCGAGGGTGGTGCTGGTGGGCATATTCTTAATCCGTCGGAAGCAAGAAGATTACGCATAATAACTGTGATTGTAACAGCTATACTGTGTATTTTACAGCCCATAAAGTATCCTGCTAGTTTCATGCTCGTTTGGAATGAATCTGTTGGAAATAGCGAGATGCTGGTCCCCATGCTCGCTTTCCCCCTCCCCTCGCTGCCCCCCCATTCCCTATTCCCCCATTCCCCATTCCCACATTCCCCATTGCCCCACCCCCCTCCCCCATCCCCCATGGCCCGCCCATTCGTTTGCGTCAATTGTTTGTGGAGCTTTCGGGAAAGCACTTTAGCAGTAGAGCGCGTGGAGGAAGAAAAGCGGTAGACAGGGAGGACAGCAGGCAAGCCAGGTGGAGCCTATGGATGGCCCGAGTTTGTCTTTCCTTTGTTAGCTTGTGTTTGCTACAATGCGGGGGGCTTACCTGAGGGGGGAGGACCCGAGGACTTGGATAGTAGTTTGTTGTTCGTGCTGCATCTGTGATTCATATATACTCCTTTCTTTGCCATTAGTTAGTTAAGAAATGCATGTTCATGAAAAGAGAGTGAAATGCTAATGGAGAGTTAATGCCGATGTGTGTTAGAAGAGAAAGAAGGAGAAGTGAACAATTTTTTCCCTATCCGTGAGTTGAACGGCGGGTTGGTACAACCCATTGCCAATTGGACAAAGCACACGGAATCCCACCGGGGGGTAGGCGGGCACGCCCGGGATGTCGGTGGATAGAGGTATGGCCGGTTGCCGGGACAGTGCGGGGTCACAGCTCCACAACGCACGGCCCACGGAACCACACTACATGAGTCCCCTTTCTACTACCCCATACTACACAATCACCACTCTGCCCACAGCTCGCGTTCGTTATTTCTCGCGTTCTTTATTGCCCCCCCACCCCCCCTTGGAAACCGCACTGGCGCCCCCATTGCCGCATCGGGAAAATTCGGTGGTAACGATCTCCCGTGGCAAGGGCAGCGGCTTCCCACGCACGGCCTCCGGCACTGGAATCAGATATCCGGTTGACTAGAGCGGGACGCATGGGCATTCTCTTTGGGCGTTGTTTTGTCTTGGGTTTTCTCTAGTTTCTCTTTCTGTTATCCTTAGCTACTTCTAATACACTTGCCGGACTTTGGAAAATTGGGTGATCCATTTAGTAAGCAGATTGCGTTTGCCGCTGGCCACAGCTGGCCACTCGTTCGTTTCATCGCGGTCCGCGATCTCGAAATTTAATAGAATCAGGAAGTATATTTCGCTTGAACCGTGACAGAATGCCCACTGGCCACTCCCCGCCAGCGCATATGGCTCCAGGTGGCCTTTACGTAGACAATGATGCTGCAAATACGCATCCACAAGTGTACTATATCTCTCCTCTGTGTTCCATTCAGAACTCTCCTGGGTTCAAGCAGGAGCGGGCAGGCAGGCCTTCCAAGATCTAGATTGGCAGCTAGGAGCTACGGTGGATTGTCGTGTGCTTCCTTAGTAATATACACCTCTTCAAGTGGCTACAGCCCTGTTTAGAGAGATAGTTGAAGACCAACTCCTCGGGTGTCTGGAACATTTCTGGGAAACTCGGTCCCATATAACAGATCCAGAATATTTAATATGCAATAACAGAGCCCAGGTGGTAGGATTTCTTTATTTACCTAGTTACCGGTTAGCGAAGGGTATCCGGTTTTATGATTGCTTTAAAACGCACCCCTGCTATTAGGTATGATATTCTTTGGTAGCAGCCCAGAGGGGTTGCCGAGGCCGGGCGGGTGTGGAGTATCTTGAGTTGGTAGGACGAAGTGGGTTTTCAATGTTTCGTGGGATCCGTGCCTATTGTCGAGTTGGAATCAGTTCCTAAGTCTAGATATACCGGATTCTTGTACACCAATTTAAACCTCCTCACTCTAAAAACCAATTTATTTTTCATAATCAATAGTATTGGGAGAGTTCTATCTCACTGCCTCCTTCCCCATCTGCCCCTGTATGAATAAATAGGCTTCTCACCCAATTCCCATCATGGGAGTGTCCACATCAATATCAACAGCTAACCCCCCGACTCCCTTTCCAAGTCCGTACAGGTTCTACCCCCCCCCCCACCATCATGGCTCGCATGGCACTATCATAAAAAATAAGTGAGAACTGCCTAATTTCAAGGCCCCCACCGCCTTCCATCAACTCCGAGGCACTTGGTACCTTCTGTACCTTCAAATAGTCCTTGGCACGGTCACTGGGAATGACAAATACCAGCACGATGATTTTGATCGTGCGTGGTAGGGACTGAAGCAGGACTCTGATACCATGAGCTTTAATCTCATGGGTGGTAGCAATAGTTATTTGGAAGAGCAACAAGGTGTCAGATCGAAAAAATGTGAGTCCGTCAATTGACTCAAAATTTCTCCCACAGGGGAGAAAATATTTCCCAAGGACAGCACTCTGAATACCCCGGCCACTTGAAGCACGGACCCGGCGGTCCAGGTCCTGGGCATCGGTAAAGTAGTGATCCGACAAGCACTCGGTTTCCAGCAATTCAAATTGGAAATCGACAATGGTCCCCTCCTTCCCCACAATTTCTCTAGCGATAAACTTGCCACCTTTCCGGAACCAATCATGACAGTAACCTTCAAAGATCCAGCCCGCTGCTGTCCGAAGTGGTCGCTGCCGGGACAAGTTTTGATACAAGCGGTAAAAGTTTAGTTGGGAGGCCTCCCGCGCCCGCTCAAAGATGCAAAAACCAATCCACTTGGTTGCAATCTCTAGTCGCCCCGAATAACCCTCGTCTAACGGTTGCATGATCGTCAATTTTGCAGATGCTGCCTGCAACTTCAGATCATCCATTTCATCACATCCCCCATCTTGGATGAATTTATTGATATCATCCTGGATCGCCCGCAGATAGGCTTTGGTGTCGGGTAAAAAGTGTGCCTCACTGCTTACAGAGATTGCCTGTAAGCAGGTTCTGGCAATGGGGCCAAAACCGGCAAATATCGAATAAAGCCTCTCAGCTTCACTCGCAGAAGGGGGCTTTCCATGACCCATACTAGCACAATAAACACAAATTAGCTGGTGCCTTCTGCGCTCTTGAATGTGAATTATTACTGGAATGCGGCAAAAACTTCTTCCCAAGTCCAGTTGGTCATATACCGGATGCGCGCATTGCGATTACTCCGCCAGGACTCAGAAAGTACCATTTGCGCTGGTCGGGCAATAAATACGATAAACCAAGTATTGCCCTGGCGTTCCCAACCTCGATTGGTAATCGAGTCATCGGTGAGAATCCACAGCCTCTCCTTTTCACTTGCCGGCAGTCGGAATAGGTACTCCGCATTGACCTCTTTCCCGGCCGTATATTCATCAAAAAGATAACACTTTTGGTCATCTTCACGGTATACTGTAGGCTCTCCCATAGCGAGTCGACGGGCTAACAGGTACGACAGAAAATAGGACTTTCCTAAATAATTGTCAGACCATAGTGAAATAATAACATATTTAGAGACAATGCACCTGTCCCAGGTTGGGCGACTATTGCAATATCAAGCTTCGCACCCCACTTAGTTGATCCCGGACATGCCGACCACTTTTCCCACCACACTTGGGAGCAGAGATGCTCCAGATTTCTGAACTCCGGACGAACCAAGATCATGTTCCAGCCGCAAGGAAGCAGTGTCTCAACCCTGAGCACTTGAAAATTGCAATGCAGAAAATTCTGCTCAAACCGCAGCACTGGAAGCCCTGTTCCCAATGCCTCGCTCAGACTCACCGCATATCCCGGAGCCAGGTTTTCTTTGGGTTGTGGAACCCTGACCCCGAAATCATGCACAAGTTCCACCTTCCTTCCCCATAGCTCGGTGTAAAGGTCCTCCATGATTCAAGGTGGAGAAAAATATACGGCGTGTTTGAAAGGAATTCCGGAATAATGAGGCACTATTCATGAATAGGAAGCGTGAGTCGTGAGTTTGGAGTCCCGGCCATTGTGATGCTCGCTGAACTTGTCCAGATTCTCACGAACGAAATGGCCGCGTGGACGTTACGATCCTTCAGCACTTGCATTTGGTTCTCTTTGGTATCTATCAACCCCTTGACTATTACAATGTTCTACTAGAAACCAATTGCTCATTAAGAGTAGTTTCGGGACATGATGGAGCACTCCAGCCAGTGAGAAATCATGATTCTCTTTTTAAGAGGGCACTTTATTTCTTTTTTCCTTGCGGTATGGGAAGATTAGGGGTATAGACTGTCCGCATAGCAAAGCTAAAATGGCTCTGGGGTAAGTAACTATTGGTGGTGGTAATTCGTGGACCGATACCCAAAAAAAAACTCTAATGCCGCAGGTCCTTGCTATTAGCAACTTTAGCTCATGTCGCAATCCGCTCACTGTTGCCATCCCCCACTCCAAGATGTCTCGGGCTGCAACTCCATGTTACACTGGCATCGATGGGTTATGGCATGGAATGGAAGCTGTCCGTGAGGAGTTCGTGCATTTATTATCCTTAATATCACCCCTCAGGGTCTAAACGAATAGCCGAGGACTTCACCGCGTTGTAGAGCGGACTCTAACCTCACTGCTTAATCTACCAAACAACTGACAGGGTGAGCCTTGAGATTCCAATATTCCGAAGCCACCCAGAATGTCGTTCTCAAGGTCAACAAGCGAAAACGCAACCACCTCCTCCACTAGACCGAAAGGTTTATCTAGTGACCCCGGATTCTGAAATGGTAGCTCGGTTCTCTGATTCCGCTGCTTCCAATGGCCCAGTGCTCAGACGTCATAAGTCGCAATACCATCTTGAGTCTAAATCATAGTGGCAAGGGGGTAGTAATTACCCCCCCAGTCTTTTGCCGGGTATGTTATAACACAGCCTTTAAATAGTCCTCTTTCCACTATCAGAAGCACCTAAAGTTTGCAACGAACCCCCCCCCCCATCCAGGATGCGGCTGAGACTCATCCCGTCGTCTAGTGTAGTGCTATATGGGAGAGAAATCCTATGTTCCTGTTCCACATCGGGTCAACGCCTCGTATACACCAGGTGCAAGGGAATAAATGGTTTTATCACTCTAACGCTTCTGAGTACTACACTTCTCTGGCTCCTTGGAAACGCCTTATCTGCCGGGGCCGCAACTTCTGTCATGCGGGACAAGGTGCGTGGTTCTAGATGAGCTTTACATTGTCCCCCTCTGGCATGCACTCGCTGCCCCAGTTCTTCTGGACCGCTCTGTGCACTTTAATATGCCTCTGCGACTGCCAGTGACTTTGCAATACTATGCTAGCGTCTGTAGTAGCGATCTAAAGTCCGTTCCTGATAAAATTCAAGATCGCCAGCCGCCGTGAAACGAACGAGTGATAGTCTGTGAAACACTGAAACGCCAAGCCCTTACTCACAACACAAAAGCGGGGAACTTGAAAACGTTTCACCTCCCCAACGCACACTCGTATTCACTCTCTCTGGCACTCTCAACTCTATCACACACTCCACTCTCTTGACTAACTAACATCAACTAATGGTAGGGACGGGAGTATATATTACGAAAGCAATAACATGAACGACAAACGGGCAAACCGCGGTCCTAACCTCCTCTCAGGTACGTTCTTCTCTTCCCCCGTGCAAACTTGATGCTAACAAGAAAAAGACAAACTTCGATGCCCATAATCTCCGGACATCGCGCTCCGGTCTCACATTTCCCCGGCGCCTTTCCGCTTTCCCTGCGGCATATCTCAGGCACCTCTCATTTCACAGACCCCCTGGATAACAAAGGAGATAGACAAACTCTCACGACACTCCCCAAGCCTCCTCCGTAAGTCTTCCTCTCCTCCTTTCAACCCCGTAAAACAAACTAACACAAGAAAGACAAACCCCCCGGCTTTTCTCAAGCCTCCCTCCATTTCTTCCGCCGCTGCTTTTCTCCCGCGCCTTCCCTCCAGTTCTCGGCACGCTCCCATCACCGAAGCACTTTCCCAAAAGCCAGAGCGCGCTCCCAAACTAACAAAAAAACTAACTAGCGTGCAAGCAGACAAATGGCCCCACGAGCGAACGAGCGAACCTGCAACGGGGATATGGGAAGGAGGGAAGCGGGGGGGGAAGAGAAAAAAAATAACGGGGGGGAAGAGCATGCCGAGCAGCACCTTGGGATTTCCAACAGTGCCCGCTGACCTCTTTTGGGTAGTTTTCTGAACCGTCCAATCACCATCATCAGCGCGGTGCGCGACAGGCCATAGCCTGTAGTGTATCTGGTCTGCACACATGACTGGCAGGACCTGCCGGACTACAGAAGACTACCATCTTCCTGCCTGAGCCCCTATTCTCAGCAGGGGCATTTCAACCCAATGTTTCAACTATTTCTGAGGTGGTTTCTGGTATAAGGTGTTGCTCTCCCCGAATATCACAGCGCCCCACAGTATCCGGGAGTGCAGGGACGACAAGCAGGTTTTGGGATACTAGTGTACATACATATTCACATGAGGTTTAAAAATGTCTCAAGTGTTTAACCCCTCGCTGAACTAATCTCTTTTCATAGCTGGTTATTTTCTCAACCTGGCGGCAGGAATTGCGTCGAAAATCAAACTGCTGCAACGGACTCTGCTTCTGTAGCTTCATGTGGTTTTCCGTTCTTGCTTCAGGTCCTCATCGTGTATTCTCACTGTGCATTCTCATTGTGCATGGAAGATAAACTGGTTACAACGGCACCATCATACTAGCCTGCCTATTCTACAATTTTCTTTGGCACTTTACTAAGCTTATTCTGCTTGGGCCCAACCACATTCTGCGCGTGACTTTAAGCTAAAGCCCCGAACCATCCTTTTAAGCCCCCCATTGTACCCTTGGGAATTACGGGTTCACCTAGTTGGTGTTGAAAATCACTAGTATTCACATAGACGACTAGAAGTCCCTCGGTCAAAATATCTCTTAGTTATATTATTAGCCCACCCCCAATTTTGTTTCTTTTGTGTTTCATCATGTTAGACTCTATGTATTGTGGAAAGCTTATTTGTCGGCATTGCTCCTCAGCCCTCGGTCTGTTCCCAGCTTTTAGAATCCGCAAGCAGATGAAAGAACCTCGGGAACCTGAGAAAATTCGGAACTCGGTAATGGTGTATGTTCCGGAGATGTATGTTGAGTTTGGAAAGGAGCACATTGCATATCGGGAAAGTGATAAGGTTTTCTCATCTTTTGTATGGGTAGGATAGTCTTTTCTTTTGTATTTAACGCCACCACTCCGCCGGAAGAATCTGTGGATAAGTTGGGGGCCACAAAGACAATACAAAAAGATACTCTCGTTTCTTCTTCTTTTCATTATACTCCTAGTCCGCTCAGCAGTTCATAATAAAAGTTGGACCTTTTCTCCCAACTAAAAACACCCGTCCGGCATTTTCCCCACCATGGATACACTGCCCAGGGTTATCCCGGTGCGTCCGCAGCGCCCTGCACTGCCCGTGTGGGCCCCCACCCCGCTATAGTTATGAATACTACTCTCTATGTGCTCGCGTTATGCCGCATAGCATGGTAGGATATTGTGGCATGGATTAACCCGCTTGGATCCATAGCAACTGTAGTTTTGATACTGATTGTGCATCTGAGGTCTAGGAGAGATATGCAATATGATCCAGTAGGCTAGATAAGCTATCCCTCCATTGCGATCTGCTTGGGGCGCTAGAGGTGGGTTCTAGAAGATCCTTCCCCAAGTTTTTGAATTTTGCAAGATATTCCTAGCGTGGCTAACGGCTTCTATTAAGCTTACCATTTGTTACTGTATAATATGGTTGCATGCTGTATAGCATATGGTGTGATCTACCGTCTGAGATCCAGCCGATCGGTTCAGGAGCACTATTGGCAGGCCACATGATTTGAGGCTACCTTTTTAGAGTCTACAGACTTGTGCCATGAGTGAGCCCAGTCAACCAAACTGTATGGGTGGTGGGAGCCAGTTCAATGGCGCATTTCCAGTCGTGACGCATTGAATTTTTGCCAAGCAAGAACATTTGGAGATGAGAGTACAGGAGCAATGGAAACCAGAAACCACTGACAGCTGGCCATAACAAATTCCCCATCTGGACACAACGACCCTACCACTTGTTGGAAATCGCACAGCGAGCATTGCTGCTCGCCGTACTCTCTCCTTCACTCCCATCCCATCTCCCTCTTTTCCTTCTCCCTGGCCCCCCCCCCCCCTCACCATTTCCTTATTCCCCCTTTCCCTTCCTGCATGGTTTGCTTGTTTGTTCATTAGCTTTTAGGAGAGCGCTTCGAGAGCGCACGGCAGCGGACGGTAGGAGCGCGGGAGAACGGCAGCGGACAGTAGAAGCGCGGGAGAACGGCGCCAGAGTGCGACTGAGAGTGCGGGAGAGCGCGGGGAGAAGGAGCGCGGGAAAGCGCACGGAAAAAACGAGTGCGCAGGAGCGCGGCGGAAGGTGTACGGCGTGGGAGCGCGGTAAAAGGCGCAGCGGAAGAGCACCGCGGAAGGGCGCACGGCGGGAGCGCAAGTTTGTCTTTCCCTTGTTAGCTCTTTCTTGTTTATGCGAATACGGGGAGGGACTTACCTGGGGGGGGAGGCACCAGTTTGTCTTTCCTTTTGTTAGTTTGTGTGTGTGTTTGCGAGAGGGAAGGGGAGGACTTACCTGGGGGGGGAGGTGGAGACTTTGTGGTTTGTCGGTATCGCTTGAGCTTCATATATACGCCTGTCCCTCCCGGTTAGTTTAGTTAGTTAGTTGATGTGCACGCGATAAGTTTAGGGGGTGAGAGTGTGAGTGAGAGAGAATAAAGATTGTGTTTGCGCGAGAGGTGAAGAGTTTTCAAGTTCCCCGCCTTTGTGTTGAGTCAGCACTTGGCGTTTGTTGTGCGTCACAGGATATCACTCGCTCGTTTTACGGCG